TCCCTTCTCCTCATCGCCCTCGCCCTCGTCATCATCACCATCATCATCGTCATCATCATCATCGTCATCATCGTCATCATAATCCTAATCGTCATCACCGTCGTCATCATCACCATCATCATCGTCTCTCCTCCTCCTCCTCCTCCTCCTCCTCCTCCTCCTCCTCCTCCTCCTCCTCCCCCTCCGCCTCTTCGCTTCCCAGGTCAGGACGGAGGGGGAGGAGAAGGGATAAGTAGTGGAGAGGAGGGGGCCGGTACAATGAGAAATGATAAGAAGTCTCCACAATGAAAATCAATCAGAGCACCCTACAATCGAAAACAATACGAAATCCATACAATCAAAAACAATAAGAAACCCGTACACTCAAAAACAATAAGATACCCATACAATCAGAAACAATCAGAAACCTGTACAATCAAAAACAATAAGAAACCCATACAATCAAAAACAATAACAAATCCATACACTCAAAAACAATATGAGATCCGTACAATCAAAAACAATAACAAATCCATACAATCAAAAACAATGAAAAAACCGTGCAATCAAAAACAATAAGAAATCCGTACACTCACAAACAATAATACACCCATACAATCAAAAACAAACAGAAAACGTTTTGGGTCCACGAACCCTGTGAGGGTACCAAAAAACAAAAAAAAAAAAAAACAAAAAAAAAACATGTGAGGGTACCAAAAAAACCAAAGAACAATGGTTTTCGTGCCTTCAGGCTGCCTGGGCGGATCTGGGTTGGAGGGGCCCAGAGGAAGCCCGAAGACACGAAAACCATTGATCTTTGTTTTTCCCAACCATCCTGTGGTGTTGGGTCCTCGTTTTGAAGAGACGGTGCCCCGCGTTCTCCTTCCTTCCTTCTTTCCTTCCTTCCTCCCGCTGCCTCCTCCCCCCTCCCATCATCATCATCATCAACACCCAATTCGGCACACCCCTCACACGTTTCGTGGCTCCATAGGGAGCTCCACCGAAGGCCCCAGTGGCCGCGGCCGCATGCGTCCCCACACCCATTTCGGCACACCCCTCACACGTTTCGTGGCTCCATAGGGAGCTCCACCGAAGGCCCCAGTGGCCGCGGCCGCATGCGTCACCCACACCCATTTCGGCACACCCCTCACACGTTTCGTGGCTCCATAGGGAGCTCCACCGAAGGCCCCAGTGCCCGCGGCCGCATGCGTCCCCCACACCCATTTCGGCACACCCCTCACACGTTTCGTGGCTCCATAGGGAGCTCCACCGAAGGCCCCAGTGGCCCGCGGCCGCATGCGTCACCCACACCCATTTCGGCACACCCCTCACACGTTTCGTGGCTCCATAGGGAGCTCCACCGAAGGCCCCAGTGCCCGCGGCCGCATGCGTCCCCCACACCATTTCGGCACACCCCTCACACGTTTCGTGGCTCCATAGGGAGCTCCACCGAAGGCCCCAGTGCCCGCGGCCGCATGCGTCACCCACACCCATTTCGGCACACCCCTCACACGTTTCGTGGCTCCATAGGGAGCTCCACCGAAGGCCCCAGTGCCCGCGGCCCGCATGCGTCACCCACACCATTTCGGCACACCACTCACTCGTTTCGTGGCTCCATAGGGAGCTCCACCGAAGGCCCCAGTGCCCGCGGCCGCATGCGTCACCCACACCCATTTCGGCACACCCCTCACACGTTTCGTGGCTCCATAGGGAGCTCCTCCGAAGGCCCCAGTGCCCGCGCCCGCATGCGTCTCCCACACCCATTTCGGCACACCCCTCACACGTTTCGTGGCTCCATAGGGAGCTCCACCGAAGGCCCCAGTGCCCGCGGCCGCATGCGTCACCCACACCCATTTCGGCACACCCCTCACACGTTTCGTGGCTCCATAGGGAGCTCCACCGAAGGCCCCAGTGCCCGCGGCCGCATGCGTCCCCCACACCCATTTCGGCACACCCCTCACACGTTTCGTGGCTCCATAGGGAGCTCCACCGAAGGCCCCAGTGCCCGCGGCCGCATGCGTCCCCCACACCCATTTCGGCACACCCCTCACACGTTTCGTGGCTCCATAGGGAGCTCCACCGAAGGCCCCAGTGCCCGCGGCCGCATGCGTCCCCCACACCCATTTCGGCACACCCCTCACACGTTTCGTGGCTCCATAGGGAGCTCCACCGAAGGCCCCAGTGCCCGCGGCCGCATGCGTCACCCACACCCATTTCGGCACACCCCTCACACGTTTCGTGGCTCCATAGGGAGCTCCACCGAAGGCCTCAGTGCCGCCGCCCGCATGCGTCACCCCCACCCATTTCGGCACACCCCCCGCATTTCTCGCACGGCAGGGTCATCACCACGGTGGCGTGCCAGGGGCGCACCATGCGCGAAGGCGACGGGGCGGGGGAACGGCGCTCCGGGGGCGGCCAGACCTCCGGGGCGCGAGCAGTCCGCGGCCAGACCATCTCTCGGTCCTGTGGACTCTCGCCCTGGGCCGTCGGCTGCCCGGCGCGCTGCTCCCTCGGTCGACGTCGCCCAGGCGTGATCCTGGATTGCGGCCGCCACGAGGTAGGGAACGGCAAGAAGGAGGACGACGACTGGTGGCTGGAGCTCTACGCGCTGCTCTCGCGCGCCACGCGCCACGAGGACCTCCTGCTCATGCGGGCGCCGCGCATCGAGTTCTTCCTGGCAGGGCCGCCGCAGGGCTTGCGGAAGCAGCTGGAGCAGTTTGCGGCGCGCACGAAGCGGTGCAGGAGGGAAGCGACGGCCCTCGCCAGGGAGCTCGGCTTCACCGAGTTCATCCGCGAGGCCTGACCTGAGGAGCGTCTCCCCCGAGCCGCGCCTTCTCTCGACTGCCCGACTAATTGTTTGGCCTCGCGCCGCGGACGACCCGCGCGCGTCGCTGGGACCCTCTCGGGGCGACCAGCGCGCGTCGCGGGAACTCCGTGCTGCGGGGGGCCCGGCGCCTCGTTCGCCCGTCGTCGCTCTGCCCAGCGGTCAGAGACTTGCCCGCTATCAGCCAGCCAGTTAGCTAGTCAGCTCTCTCTGCTTCGCGCAGCGGACGACCCGCGCGCGTCGCTGGGACCCCGCCCGGGGCGACCAGCGCGCGTCGCGGGGACTCCGCGCTGCGCTGCGCCCGCAGCCTTGGATTTTGGAGTGCGCGGGCAAAGAGGAAGGAAAAGAAGAGCCGAAAGCGGGCGCGATCCTCGCAAGAGGCGTGCCGACATGGGCGTCGCGACGTGCGGGCGCTGCCGTCGGGGTTCTCGCGGAAGCTGCTTGCGGCGGCCACGCCCAGTGTCGCGTGTGTTCGGACAGGCATGCTCGAACCATTCACATTCATATACACTTACACTAGGCGTTTCCATGATCGCATTCATGCAAATATATTCACTCGCGCGCAGACCCATTCATACTCAGATTCCCTCGCGCTCTGACTCACCCGCGTTCTTTCTCTCGTAATCAGATCTATCGTATTCCTTTGCGTTGTGTACCCCGCCACATTTCGGCACACCCCTCATGCGGTTCGTGGCCCCATAGGGGGCGCCACCGAAGAAGACATTCACAATTGCGATACTCACAACTGCATATGGTTGGGTCCTTCGCCAGGATAATTGTCGGTACCCTCGCAGTTTTTTTTTTTTGTTTTTTTGTTTTTTGGGTGCCCTCGCAGGGTTCGTGGGCCCAAGACGATTTCTGATTGTTTTTGAATGTGTGGATTTCTTATTGTTTTTGATTGTGCGGATTTCTTATTGCTTTTGATTGCATGGATTTGTTAGCTGGAGGGGCCCGGAGGAAGCCCGAAGACACGAACACCATTGATTTTTGGTTATTTTGGCACCCTCACAAGCTTTATTCCCTACCAAGGCTCTGCCTAGAAGGGTTCTTACTCTCTTAGCTTAAAGGGGCCGGGCAATGGAAATCGCCCCGGGCGACTCCCCCAGTCCCCTGGGAGCGGTTCCCCCCAGTCCCCTGGGAGCTTTAGCTTTAGCTTTAGCTTTAGCTTTAGCTTTAGCTTTAGCTTAGCTTTAGCTTAGCTGTAGCTTAGCTTTAGCTTAGCGTTTCGCTTAGCTTTTCGCTTAGCGTTTAACTTAGCTTTAGCTTAGCGTTAGCTTTAGCTTTAGCTTTAGTTTTAGCTTTAGCTTTAGCTTTAGCTTTAGCTTTAGCTTTAGCTTAGCTTTAGCTTAGCTGTAGCTTAGCTTTAGCTTAGCGTTTCGCTTAGCTTTTCGCTTAGCGTTTAACTTAGCTTAGCTTTAGCTTTAGCTTAGCTTTAGCTCAGCTGTAGCTTAGCTTTAGCTTAGCTTTAGCTTAGCTTTAGCTTAGCTTTAGCTTAGCTTTAGCTTAGCTTTAGCTTAGCTTTAGCTTAGCTGTGGCTTAGCTTCAGCTTAGCTTCAGCTTAGCTTCAGCTTAGCTTTAGCTTAGCTTCAGCTTAGCGTTACTGTTACTACGAATGCTGCTTTCCTAAGGGTTCCAACCCCTAGGTAGGGTCGCACTGGGATAATTGTTTTGTTTTGTTTTGTTGTTTTTTTGGGTTTTTGGGTGCCCTCACAGGGTTCGCGGACCCAAAACGTTTTCTGATTGTTTTTGATTTCTTGTTGTTTTTGATTGTACGGATTTCTTCTTGTTTTTGAGTGTATGGGTTTGATATTGTTTTGATTGTACGGATGTCTTACTGTTGTGATTGCGCGGAAAAGAAAGGAAATGTGGAGGAGGACGATGAATGCGAGAAGGAACATGCGGAGGGTGAGGAACAATATTATGATGGCGACGATGGTGATGATAATGGTGATGATGATGATGAGAAAAACCTCACGCCACATACTCTTAAATCTCACCCTCCCCCCCCCCCCCCCACGCGAAGCCGGCGGCCTCTCCCAGTGGAGGGGCGCAGGGGGGGGGGGGGAGAAGGGCGAAGAGGGGGGGGGAGGAGGGGGGGAGGTGGGGCGAACGTAGCCTTGCGGGCCACGTCTCCATCTCAGAAGCCGCCGCGGCCGACGCGGGCACCTCGCTCAGAGCGGGTCGGCGCGCGCTGCGCCTCCAGCATATCGCAGTTCGTCTCGAAGTTCGCGATGTGGGCTCCAGCTCCTCCCGACGGGTCCTGTGGGAGCTGGGGCGCATGGCGAGCCGCCGCGTACTTGTTCACCACCAAATGGTACGGCACGTTGCGGTCTGCCTTGTTGTTTCACAGCACGTGGTACACCCTGCAGGCAACCGCCATGCGCGCCGCCGAGCTCTGGATGCCGTTCTCGCCAATCATGTCCTGGTTGGTGCCCAGTCCGAGGCGATCCAGTAAGCTGGTGGAGAACGCCCCGCGCGGCTTGGTCAGGTGATGGAACATCCGAGGGCAGACCAAGTAGCGGGCCATCCCGCCCCTAGCGTTGCGCCCGTAGTGGCAGCCCCTCCTGTTCTGCAGTGCGCGCATCCTGTGCGACGCAGTCCACGCTCCAGCCATCGTCTTCAGCGATGCTCGCAGCCGCGCTGGCGGGGGGGCGGCCGGATGCGAGCGCAGCCTGAGCCAGCGGGCTCGCATGTCGTCGGGGATCTGCGCGAACTCGAGGAGGTCGGGCGCGTTCTTGGCGCTCGAGTCGTTCGAGGGCTCATCGGGGGCGTCGCCCGATGCCTCCAGGGGGGGCGTGCCAGGGTCAATCCATCGACGACGGGCGCGGCGCTCAGCGGCCAAGCGCCCCCCCGATAAACAGCTCGCGCGCGGATATCAGCGCGTCGAGGGCCTGCGCTGCCAAGAAGACGAAGCTCGAGAACTCTCGTTGGTGGGTGACCTCAGGGCGCGTCTCGAACCGCTCCACCCAGCCCCCCTCGCCGTCAAAGCTGCTCGCGTCGATGAGGGGGTCGGGGTGCCGGCGGGCTGCCCATTCGGCGACGCGTTCTTGGAGACGGCGCCGCACGTGCTCGGCCTGCGCCCTCGCGCGATAACGCGGGCAGCGAGCGAGTTGGCGGCCGAGAAGGGCAGGGTGCCATGAGGCAAGTCTGCGTTTGATCGCGACGTGCATTGTGTCCTCGTTGCGCTTCTCGTGCAGCGCGAGCAAGTGGGCCCTCTGCGGCGCGCGCCTCGTCTCGTGCATGTTCAGGTCGGCGTTCGGCGGCGATGCAGCGGCCTTTGCCTTCAGCCCCTGTCTCGCAGCGACTTGATGTGCAGCTTGGATCTTGCCGCGCGCGCTGGCGATGGAATTGACGGCGCGCGCGGTCTGCTCGAATATTGATTCCTTGCCCTCGACGAAGAGTATCGAGATGAAGGTGCCACGGGGCCGTTGCGCAATGGACGTGGGGCCGTTCCAGCAATCAGCGCACCGGCGCCCTGTCGCGGCGCATAGCACCAGAAGGTCCTCATGAGCTGTGTCGCAGAGCCTGGTGTAGAGGTCGCTCCATTTGGCAAGCGTGATGCGAGCGGCGCGCCAGCGACGTCTCGACGCCGCGAGGAGCCTCCGCGTTGGTCCAGAGGGCCATGGCCTTGATTTCGGACGTGGCGAAGCTGTTGGGCGCCGCTCGCAATATTTTGTGGATCGCTTGCAGCTCCTCGGCGAGCAGGGCGCTGGGGGGCTCGAGCAGTTGGCCGACGTAGGTGAGGCGCGCGATGGCTTCCACGTTGTAGAGTAGGATGCACGTCTGTAGCGGAGCGCGAGACACCAGCTTCTCCACTCTGTCCCGCCACTTCGACGAAGCCCCTTTCCATTGTCCTGGAGGGCTGCGCCAGGGCCGATGAAGAAGCCAGGGTGGCGGGCCTTCGCTTCGATCTTGAAGCTGCGCCAGGGAAAATGGAAGGTCTCCAGGATGGAGCGGATCTCGCCTGTGAGCGCCATGTTGGGCGGCATCCAAGCCGGCGCGCTGATGCACATTGTGGCCTGCAGCTTAGGCCCCACCAGCGTCTCTGCAGCGACGAAGTAGGGCACCGGCCGAGAAAGGCTGCGCGGCCGCGCGAGAACGATGCCAATGTTGTCTGCGCATGCGCTTGCCGGCCCCCTCTGGATATCTTCTAGGTCCGCGCTGAGCGCTCGCGCGAATAGGTCGAAGGCCAGCGCCCAGATGGTTCCACTGAGGGGGCAGCCCTGCGCCGCCCAAGAGGCAGCGATAAGCAGCGGGCGCGCAAACCCCCATGCTCGAGGAAGGCCAGCGGCATGAAGTAGCACGCGCGGAGGAGCTTCAGCACGCGCCCGCGGACGCCCCGCCGACTGAGGACGGCCCGCAGCCATTGACAAGCAAGGCGGGGGAAGGCGGCGACGATGTCCATGCTGATGAAGACAGGCATGTCGGCGATGCCTGATGAAGACGTACTCAGCCGCCACGCCTCGGCGTCAATGAGCACCCCGTTCCGCGGGAGTTGGCGACCGATCGCGAAGCCCTTTTATTCGACGGCAGTGTCTGCGGCGATTGTGCGTAGCGATCTGTCGGCAGCTGATGCAATCATTTCGTCGTCCGTATTCTTCATGGAGAGAGGTCTGAGGCAGTCGGGTGGACGCGCGCATTCGGCGTTGCCCAGCGGCTCGTCCCCTGCGTGGGGGCATGGCCATGCGGGAGTAGTGAAGGTCGCGCGGGGGCATGGCGTTCTCGGAGCTGGCGACGCCCCGGGCCAGCTCAGCTTGCACGTCGGGGGCGGACGGAGTGCGGAGCCAAGCTCGGTATGGGAGTCGGTCAGGCCCAGGAGCAGAGTCTCGGGCATGCCTGTCAGCACGCCGTAGACGTCAAGCATCAGGTACAGGAAAATCCCGCGGAGAGCGCTGGGATACTGCGACGTGGAGGTACTCGGCGATGGCCTCCTCATCGACCTGCTTGGCGGCAAAAAATCGCCCCCCAGTGGTTCATGATGGCATTGTGCATGGCGGCGGGGTCAGAGCTGACATTGCTCTGTGTGCCTGAGACAATCTCGATGCTCGCCGAGATCAAGCGCTTTGAAAACGGCTGCCATAATTCAGCTTTGCGGCCTCCCTCTCGCGATTTCTGTCTGCATCAGTCTCCCAGTATGACGTTGGCCTCGCCATGTGCCGCGCGCGAGCGGGCGGCAACCTTCTCCTCGCGCTCTTTGATGAAAGCGGAGTGCGCAGAGTCTGTCTCGACCGGAAATGCGGCAGGGCCCTTCAAGGTTATTCGGTTGCTAGTGATGAGCAGGTGTTTGGCGGCAATCTCAGCGTCATTGACGAGCGCGTCGGCAAGGCGCAAGTCCTGGAGCCAGACAGCTCTGGCAATGCTTCTGAGTTACATGGCGCGCGCTTCCTTGGATATGCTGGCCGTCGCGCCGTTGGGCCCGGTGGCTGAGATCTCGGCCGCGGCGTCCCCGGTCTGCTTGGCTGCCTCAGTCGCGGCGGCCTTCGTGGCCCCCCACTTCGCAGTGGCGTTCATTTCGGCGGCGTCGATGTTGCCCGAGAGCTTCTCAACGTGATGCTGATGAGGCGGGGGGGGGGGGGGGTCGAGTGCGAAAGCTGGGGCGCCGCGTTCAGTGGGGGGGGGGGGCGCTGCTGGCGTTGTCGAATGCGGATGTGCATGATCTCGCGGTCGCTGTCCACGCCGTTGGGGTCCTCCAGCGGCGCGTCATTGGCTACGTGCACGGCCCCCATGTTGGGCATCGCATGGGCTGGGGGCAAGATGAAGCAGCGGCCGAACGTGAATTCGGACATGGTCGCAATGATTCCGCGCGCGGCGGAAAGCGAAATGATCTCCAGCATATCCTTGAACATGTTGCGTCAGAAGACGGGCTGGTACTGACATCTCTGGGCGGCCGTGGCGCCGGCGTCAACGGGCGCGTCGAGGCTCTTGGGCGGGCGTTCCGGGATGTTGAAGTCGCCGGGCATGACGGGTAGACGTCCCTGCGGGCGTTCAGCAGCGTGGGCTCGTAGTTGGTGCCACTGGGTGAGTATGTCAACGCGGTCATGGAGGGGCGAGGTCGCGGTTGTGCACGCGCAGAATGGCGGCGCCCGTCTGCCCGCGCGCGCCCGCGACTCGAACCCGAGCCGCTCGCCCTGGAACAAACACTTCGAAGCGCCAAAGTGGACGCTCTTCGGGCGCGCAGGTTTGCTCGGCCTTTTCGGCCTTTTCGAAGGAAATGAGAAAGCCGATCCCGCCAGCCGAGGTGGGGGTACATCAGAGGCTCGAGCGGGCAGTCACGGTTGGTCTGCACCTGGGAATGGCAGGCGAGGTAGGAGTGCTCAGTCGAGCTCGCGAGGAGCGCGAGGTCGCCCAGCGCGCCGCGCGTCTCCTGCAGCGCGAAGACCTCGCGTCGACGACAAAGAGGAATAATATGGCGACGTTTTGCATGGCGGCGAGCGTCTGGGCGACCGCGGGGCGCCTGAGTGTTCCAGGAAGCGATGCTGAGTCCTTCCGCCGACGGCCCGGTATACCACGGTGACCACCTCGTGCAGAGACCGCTGCGCAGCTGTGAGTGGGTCCGCGAATGCAGTGGCGAACTCGATGGCGATGGATTGCTGGCGGTCGTCGCCGATGCCGAGCGTCCTCGCTGCCGCTGTCCAACGCGCAGTAGTAGGGTGATCGGCAGAAGGGCCCACCATGACCTGAACCAGCGCGTCCTCCTTGTGTGAGATGTAGCACTGGGGGCGATGCGCGCGCGCCTCGCCAATGCCAATCTTGGGCCGCAGGATCTTTGCTATATTCTTGATTAGTACTTCCAGGCGCACCATCCACGGGCTCTTGCCCCCAGTGACGTAGAGATCATAAGAAGAGCCACCCACCATGATGTCGAAGTTGCGCCAGCTCTTGCCAACGCGGAAAGCTGCATGAAGCCTGCCGGCTCGAGGCTCGGCGCACAGCGCGCCTCCTGCGACCGAGAAGGAGCGTCGCCTGAGGGGGCCGCGGCGTTGAAAGCGATCTGGGCGGCATCCACATCCGCAGCTTCGGGCCAGTCTGCGGGCGCGGCGTTCGGCCGCGGGGGCAGCGCACCCACGCCAGAAATGCGACCGGGTCGGGCTCGCGGCCCCAGGTGTCGGGGGGGGCGAAGTCGATGGATGGCGCGCGGGCCTCGACTGCTGCGACCGCTGGTTCGAACTTGGCGACCGAATCCTTGAGCTCCTTGTTCGTCTGCTCCGCGCGGTCCATCCTCTGGTTGACCATGAGCGCATCTCTCTCTGCCCGTTCATTATTCTCCGTGAGTTCCTTCGCGGTGGCCACGGCTGACTAAATGGAATTTTCGCGAGCTGTTTCTGCGGCGCTAGCTCTGCAATGGTTTCGAACTGGCAGGCTGCTGATCGCACTTGGTCTGATCGGGCTCATTCGCATTGCTTGCGTGCGCGAGCGCGAAGGGCTTCTGCTCCGAGCTTGGCCGCCGACTCTGCCCATGGGCCCATTCCTCTGCCTGCTGCCCCCGCGAGTGCCCCAGCGGCGGCCGCCGATGTCTTGCTCTCGCCCTCGACGCATGGCGGCGAGAGGTGGCCCGCGCCGGCAGCGAAGAACGGAATCTGCGCGTGGATATGAAAGAACAGGTCAGCCAGCGCTGCGGGCACAGCGAAGCAAAAGTGGGCCCTGAACTGTCCCTGGACCAAGGGTCTCCGCTTCCCGCCGCAGGGCCGAGACGTCATGAGCCAAGGCGGCCGCGGAGGAGGTGGCAGAAGGAGGAGGAGGAAGAGGAGGAGGAGGAGGGGGGCAAGACAACGAATATATATA